CCAGCCAGTCCCTGCCCGTGGGGCTGGGTGGGAGCCGGCGCCCCCTAGCGGGCAGGGACACACTGACCCCACCTCTCGGTTTCAGAGCCTCTGTTCCTGGCCAAGGCCCAGCTGCTGCAGTCGGGCGCCAGGGCCCTGGGCGACGTCCCCGGGGTTAACGGCTTCCTCCCCCGGCGCCGGGACCGGCCCCACAAGCAGGAGGTGAGAGGGGACGGTGGGAACCGGGGGGGCCCTTCCCCCAAGCGCCCCCCCCCCCCCCCCCAGGCGTTAACACTTCTCCTCTTTGTCCCCCACAGGACCCCCTGGGCTATTCCCACAGCCCCGGCTTCCCCGGACCCAAGCAGGACCCCCCGGGTGCCCACCTGGGCCAGCGCGGCAGGAGCAGCTCCTCCGAGGGGCTGGCGCCCCACATCTGGAGCCGGCTGCAATCCAGTAAGGAGCTGAGGGGCAGGACCCAGTCGCGCTGGGGGTGCTGGGTCCTCCTCTGGGGGCAGGGGGCAGTTTGGGTGGCTGCTGATAGATCCCCTCACCCGAGCTCTGCCCCCCAGGTGCCCCCAGGAAAAGCTACCGGCCCAGATCCGTGGAGCCCTGGATCGACCCGCTAAATGCCTTTGAAGACGTCGTCAGCACGGAGGTGAGGGCAGCAAGGGGCTCTGCCCGGGCAGTCAGGGCTCCCCATGGCCCCAGGGCAGCGCTAGGGGCTGTACTGCAGGGGGTGGGCCGGGGGCAGCAGGGGGCTCTGCCCGGGCAGTCAGGGCTCCCCATGGCCCCAGGGCGGCGCTAGGGGCTGTGCTGCAGGGGGCGGGGCGGGGGGCAGTCGGGGGCTCTCCCCGGGCAGTCAGGGCTCCCCATTGCCCCAGGGCGGCTCTATGGGGCTGGGCAGCAGGGCGCTGTCCCCTGGCAGTCTGGGCTGCCCCCTAACCCCCCCACCCCCCCAGATGAGCCAGTCGGACAGCGGGGTGGATCTCAGCAGCGACTCCCAGGTCTCGTCCGCCAGCTGCAGCCAGCGCAGCTCCCCCGACGGCGGGCTGAAGGCAACCCCTGAGCCTGGCGTGGGGGGCACACGGGGCACCGAGTCCGTGGCCCCCGGAGCCGAGGGGGCTGCGCCCCAGGAACAGGGCAGGAGGCCGGCGCCCAACGACACCAGCCCTCACAAGGACAAGAAGGTAGGAGTGGGGGCTGGGGCCCGGAGGGGGGGGGAATGGTGCAGGGGAGGGGGACAACAGCTGGGGTGGGGGCTGATCGGCTTGGGGGGGAACAGCTGGGGTGGGGGCTGATCGGCTTGGGGGGTTGGAACGGCTGGGGTGTGGGGATGGGGGCCGTGACTTACCTCTCCCCTCCCCAGCAGGCCGGCAGCCCCCCGGCTCTCCCCCGGGCCCCTCCCGGCCCAGGCCCCATTGGGACGGAGCGCTCCCAGCGAGCCGAGATGGCCAGAGAGAGCGGGGGGGGGGCCCGAGCCCGGCCCAGAGCCAGCGACCCCCAGCACTGGCCCCCCCATCCAGTTCGGGGCCAGCGACAAGGTGAGCAGCACCCCGGATGCCTGGGTCCTGACCCGAGGCGGGAGGATGGGAGCCTAGATGCCTGGATTCTCCCCTGGCTCTGGGAGGGGAGGGGGGTCTAGTGGTTAGAGCCAGAGGGCTTGGTTCTGGGGGGGCTGGGGGCCAGGACGCCTGGGTTCTATTCACCTGGCTCCTGTCCCCGCAGGACACTGACCTGGGGCTGCTTGTGAGCGAGGGCAACAAACCTGGCAAGGAGCCCCCAGCCCCGGGCCTCACGAAGGGGGTGAGTGAGGGGCCCGGATGCCTGGGTCCTGTCCCAGCTCTGGGAGGGGGTTGGGTTTGGGGAGTCCCAGGACTCCGGGGTCCTGTCCTGGCTGGGGGAGGGGGCATCCCAGGACTCCTGGGTCCTGTCCCAGGAGGGGGAGGGGGAGTGGGAGTCCCAGGACTCTGGGGTCCTGTCCCGGGAGGGGGAGGGGCATCCCAGGACTCCGGGGTCCGGTCCTGGCCGGGGGAGGGGGCCGGGCGCTTTTCACCTGCTGTTCTTCTCTCCCCAGCTGGTGGGCGTGTCCCGGGAGTGGGAGCTGCTCCCGCCCCCCAGACCCAGCCTGGCCCCCCAGCCCAGAGCCCTGGCCCTGGGGCCGGCCGCCTGCCCCCCCGCGGAGCCCTCGGCGTACTCAGGTAGGGGCGGGCGGCATGGGGCGCTGGGGGGCCGTGGGGCCGGCCTGGGGTCTCACTGCTCACTGCTTCCCCCTGCAGGTGAGAGGGGGCCGAGCCAGCGGCCCTACCCCGAGCTCTTCTACGGCAGCCAGCCCGGCGTGGCCCAGGTACCCTCCGTCTGGCCGGGGCGGGGCAGGGGGGCTGGCCGGGGGGCTGGGCGGGGGGGGCTGGCCCTCTGTCTGACCCACGCCCTCTGCCCCCCCCAGCAGGTGCCCAGCCCCCCCGTGGAGTCCCAGCTCAACGGCAGCTTCCGCCCGGGGACCCCTTCGCTGCATCCGTACAGGTAAGCAGAGCGGGGGTCTCCAGAGCTTGTCGGGGGAGGGGTCCTGCCCCAGAGCCAGTCGCGTGTCAGCGTCAGGCGAGGGGTCCCCCTGTGCCCAGCCCCCTGCCCTGCCCCCTCCCCAGAGCCACCGGCCTGTCGGGGGAGGGGTCCCCAGATAACCAGCCCCCGCCCCCCTATAGCAACCCGCGTGTCGGGGGAGGGGTTCCCAGATAACCAGCCCCCGCACCCCGCCCCAGAGCCAGCCGCGTGTCGGGGGAGGGGTCCCCAGATAACCAGCCCCCGCCCCCCTATAGCCACCCGCCTGTCGGGCAAGGGGGTCCCCAGATAACCAGCCCCCGCCCCCCCATAACAACCCGCCTGTCGGGCGAGGGGTCCCCAGATAACCAACCCCCTGCCCCGCCCCAGAGCCAGCCGCGTCTCCCGTCCGCGTCCCCGCTGACCCCGTCTGTCTCCGCAGATCCCAGCACTTGTACCTGCAGCCTGGCCCGGCCCCCGGCTCCCCGGCGGCCCCCGTCCTGCCTGGCTCGGCCCTGCTCTCGGGGGTGGCCCTCAAGGGGCAGTACGTGGAGTTCTCGGCCCTGCAGGCGGCCGAGCTGGCCAAGCTGCCGGCCACGGGGCTGCTCTACCAGGCGCCCCCCCCCCTCCCCCACAGCCCCCCCCTCCGCCCCCGCCCCCCTGGGCCCCGAGCAGCCCCTGCTCCAGGTACGGGGGTCTCTGGGGGTGGGGGGAGAAGGGGGCGGAGCTCCCTGTGCCTGGCTCCGCCTCCTGATCCCGGCTCCTCCTCCTCCTCCCCCCCCCCCCAGGTGCGGCAGGAGCTGAACCCCCCCTCGGATTTCTACCCGGGCTCCCTGCCACAGGCCAACCAGAGCAGCTTCCTTCAGGGCCCGGGCCCCGCCCAGCAGGTGAGCCCCGCCCCCAGCTCACTGGCTTCGCCCCCGGCCCCGCCCCATGCGCTGACCCCTATCCCCCCCTGCAGATGCTGCTGCCCATGGTGGAGTCTCAGCTGCCCCCGGTGGTGAACTTCGGCTCCCTGCAGCAGGGGGCACCAGCTGCCCCCCCGCCACTGCCCCTGGTGCCCGTCACCCCGGCCCTGCGGCCCCCGGGGCAGCTGGCCGGGCGCCTGGTCCCCTCGGCCGTCCGCGCCTTCCCCCATGGCATGGGGCGCACGGAGGTAAGGAGGGGCCCCGGTTGGGGGGCTGGCCCAGGGAGGTGGGGGGCAGGAGGAGCCCTGGCTGACCCCTGCCCCCCTCTCCCCACAGCTGCACCCCATGGAGATGAAGCCCTTCCCCGAGTACCGGAAGTTCAGCAGTCCTGGGGGTCGAGCCCCAGCGGTGGGCAGGTGAGTGGGAGCGGGGGGGGCTGAGCTCCAGGGGGGCCCCCTCCCATCGGGGCCCCCTCACCTACTCTCCTCTCCCCCCACAGAGCCTGCGTGGGCCCCTTCAGCTCCCGCCTCCGGGCCCCAGGATCCAGCTACGCAGGGGGCAGCCGCAGCCAGCGCCCGGATGGCGGCCTGCCGGTGAGTGGGGTGGGGCCTCTCTCCTCTGGGGGGTGCTGCTCGGATCCAGCCCCTGGGGCCTCTCTCCTCTGGGGGGGCGCCGCCCCGATCCGGCCCCTGCGGCCTCTCTCCTCTGGGGGGTGCTGCCCCGATCCAGCCCCTGGGGCCTCTCTCCCCTGGGGGGGGCCTCTCTCCCCTGGGGGGTGCTGCCCCGATCCGGCCCCTGGGGCCTCTCTCCCCTGGGGGGGCCTCTCTCCCCGGGGGGGGGGCCGCCCGGATCCAGTCCCTGGGGCCTCTCCCCCCTGGGGCCTCTCTCCTCTGGGGGGGCGCTGCCCCGATCCAGCCCCTGGGGCCTCTCTCCTCTGGGGGGGGTGCCGCCCCGATATGCACGTGGGGGGGTAAGTTGCACCCTGTGTCTGACTCTCCCTCCCCCCAGGTCTCCCCGTCGGACGTTCTCTGCTGGACCCCCAGGCCCTGGGAGCGCCACCCCCCAGCCCGTGAGGGGCCCCCCGCCCGCCGGCCCCCCAGCCAGAGTGACAAGCAGGAGCCTGGCCTCGCCCACCAGCGCTAGCCCGGCCCCCTGCCAGGGTGGGGGTTGCCCCTCTTCCCCCTCCCCCTCAGTGAGTGGGGAGTCCCCTGGGGGCAGGGGTGAGAGCGGAGCTGCCCCGCCCCACTGAATGTAACTGGAGTTGGGTTTGTTTTTGATTCACCTGAATTAATTTTGGGGGGCAGGAGTTGGGGTCCCCTGCCTGGGTGTGTGTAAATATATGTGATGGGCAGGGGGCCCTAGCAGGTTTGTTACAAAATAAACTGAAAAACTGTTTAAAAAAAAAATGAATAAAAGGTTAAAAGCAAACGTGGGGGGGCTGTGGACCCCCTGGCTGTGGTTCATGGTCTGTTCTGGGGGCAGCGGGGCTGGGGCTACTACAGGTGTCCGTTCATCGCATCCCCAGCCGAGGGGCTGCACACAACAGGGCAGTGAGTGGGGGAGGCAGAGCGAGGCCAGGGATGGACCCCTGTTCTAGGCCTTCGCAACATCCTGTGGCGAGGAGTTCCCCACACTAACAGCACCTGGGGTTGTGTTAAACCTGCTGCCTGTTAATGGCACTGGGTGACCTCTCGTTCACTGTCCGTCCCCATCACGCTGGGCAGGGCTTCCCCACCCGGATCGATTAATCAAGCAGGGGTTGATTTATCCTGGCTAGTGGAGAGGGGATCAACTTGATCCCTGATCCCTCTGCCACCGGCTCTGCCCACAGTGATCCAGGGAAAGCCCCCTGGCGGGTCACTCCCGGTGGCTGCAAACCGAGCCGGCAGGTAAACAAACCGGCCCTGCTCCCTAGAGCAGAAGATTTTCTTATTCTCCTGCCCTGCCCTGCCCCAAGGGACCCCCCCCCATCTATGCGCCTTGGGGGAGGGAGCTGGGCAGGGGCTCCCCCTGGGGCCAGACAGACAGCGCTCACCCCCCTCTGCAGGGACCAGCAGCCTCAGTCACTGGGGCAAGAGTCCCCCCCACCAGCCCCCCGGCACAGACAGGACCCGCAGCCTGACACCAAGCAGCTTTATTGGAGACAGGGGTCAGGGGATAAATAGGGGGCGGGAAGGCACAGGTGGCCCTAGGCCTCATCCCCGAAGGCGCGGTCGGCATTGGGGAACCGCTGGGGGCTGAAACTGGGATCCTCCTGCAGCCGCTTCTGGAGGTCGGCACGGAGCTGGAAGAGAGTGGGGGAGCGGTGAGCATGGACACAGGGGGAGCCCCCCCAGAGACCCATTGGTGGGGGCCCAGGGGGCTCCCCTGCTGCTGGGCAGCCAGTCTGCAGCCCCACCTGGGGCAGACCCCCTAGGAGAACTTGGGAGAGGTCCTGGGGGGCCCAGATTGGGCAGACCCATGGAAGAGGGTGCCAGGTGGGCCCCAGCGGGGGCAGGATGGGGAAGACCCAGGGAAGGGTGCTAGAGGGACCCTGGGAGGGGTGGGGGGCCAACACGCTGGGGGTCAGGGGGGCCTCACCTGCTGCCGGTAGCCCTCCTGCAGCGCCGGCTCGGCCAGCTCCCGGCTCAGGCTCTCACTGCCGCTCAGGGGCTGGACGCCGGCGGCTTTGGCGGCGCGGCTGACGGCCTCGGAGAGGAGCAGCTGGGGGCCGTCACCCCGCATGGTCTGGGGGACAGCGGAGGAAGAGCGCGGTTGGCAGGCAGGAGGGGGCTGGCCTGTGCGCTGCCCCTTGCTTAGCAGCTCAGGGGCACGGTTGGGGCCTCACCTTGCGGCGCTTGACCGGCATTCCCGTCAGATAGGAACTGGGCAGTCGGGACACGCCGGGGGCACAGGCGGGGGGCTCACCTTGCGGCGCTTGGCCGGCATTCCCGTCAGATAGGAACTGGGCAGCCGGGGACAAAGCTGGGGGGCTCACCTTGCGGCGCTTGGCCAGGATGCCTGGCAGGTAGGTGTCACTGGGCACGCCAGGGGCACAGGCGGGGGGGCTCACCTTGCGGCGCTTGGCCAGGATGCCTGGCAGGTAGGTGTCACTGGGCACTTGGGGCAAGCCGGGGGCGCAGGCGGGGGGCTCACCTTGCAGCGCTTGGCCGGCATTCCCATCAGGTAGGTGTTGCTGGGCAGTCGGGGCAAGCCGGGGGGCACAGCTGGGGAGCAGGCACTTAGGCAGGGGGCTCACCTTGCGGCGCTTGGCCGGCATTCCCGTCAGGTAGGTGTTGCTGGGCAGTCGGGGCAAGCCAGGGGCACAGCTGGGGAGCAGGCACTTAGGGGGCAGGCAGGGGGCTCACCTTGCGGCGCTTGGCCGGCATTCCCGTCAGGT